AAGCAAAGGGAACAAGCAGAAAACATGGTTTTGTGACACATACGTGGTTTTAGTGGGCAGGGTGAGAAGACGTGGTGGCCTGGGACCTTCTCGTGGCAGCTTGTGGGTGCGTTGGGACGATTGGAATAAAGAAAACCAACGCCATGAATGAGGGCAAGGGAGCTTCATGTGCTGGAGCTTCTCTGGTGAGAAGTAGGAGCTGTCTGGAGGCCAGCTAGGACAGATACAGGAGTGGAAGTCGACAAGGAAAGCAAAGTGAGCTTAGGAAAACATATTGCTTTGGCCTTTTTTTGATGTATATCTTAATGCTGCTGCCAGGTCCACCAGCATTACAATCTCATATTAGATTGTAAAACAAACAGAAGGAAAACAAAAAACCTGATCTTTAAAGGGCCAAGGTGGAGGTGAGAATTGAGATAAACAGAAAAATCAATGTTATCAGCAACCCAGAAACCAATTTTCAAATACACGTGTTTAGTAGGCCAAGCAGTCTGACTCTTGTAGCAGTGTAAATCATTACCTTACCTACAGAAAAAGAGGGGAAAAAAACCCCAGGGAAGCAGTATCAAAGCATTTGAGTAACAGACATGCACTTTAAATAAGTATCCAAAAGTTAGTAATACCATATGTCTGCACGATTCCTGAGAATAAACATGTAAACAGTGATGTAGTGACTTGATTTTTTTTTTTTTTTTTTAAATCTAAATGTTGAAGTAAAACATCATTTCTACACTGTGCCATTACTCCGGCACACCTAGGGATTGCTGCTCTCTATGTGGGTGTTGCCAGTGTAGGTCCCATCCCTTGGGGCCGCCCTGGTTTTAAGACTTTTCAAGGTAACCTTGTTAGGAATATTCCTTTCGTCCCGTAGCGCCATCTCAGTCGGGTATCAAGCGTTTGTCAAACCGTGTCTCATACACATGCTAAGGGCTGCCTTTGTTTCTCCTTTCTCTGCCACTCTTAAGTGGGCTGGTTGCAGTGGAAGACCCTCCAAGTGAGAGCTCTGGGGAGGGAGGGTCGGTGGGTGAAGGGAGAGTTCCTGTGAGTCCTCACTTTCTCAGAGCCTTTGGCCTTGTTGCCCAGAGCTGGCCGGCTGTAACGGCTGTAACCTGTAACAACACCAAGCCGTTTACTGCGCTTCGAAGCTTCAAATTGCTA